ATTGACCTTAGCTTGTAGACGAGGGTACCCAAGTGCACTGTAGTCTGGGTTAGACTATGCAGGGTGAGAATTGATTGATCTTAGCGTTTTAGATGCTATCACGAATTGCCATGTGAAGTGTTGACTTCAATCTGTTGTCGTTCTACAACAAGTTATGCTTCTGTTTCCCGTGGCATTCGACGGATCGCGTTTTGGCGCACTCTTCTCTTTTTGCATTTTCTTTCTTCTTTAGGTTGCCTTTCGTTTGTCCATGAACAGCTCGATTTGACCATGGGTATGCATCGCATCGTGAAATCACGAAATCATATGGGAGATGCAGGCTCTCAAGCGTACATACAAGAGACAAAAAGCGACCCATCCTGAAAGAGAGGAAAGAGGTTCGCCGGTTGATGGGGCGCCAAGGGCACCGAAATGTAGTTTGGCATCGCCATATTTTATATTTTATATTTTATATTTTGATATTCTGGTCTACTCGCAACCCTCGAAGGCGGTGCCGCCATATTTCAGTACCGCCACCAAAAAAACCGCCATATTTGGCAGTACCGGGAACCGCCGGAGACGGTACCGCCATATTTCAGTACCGCCAGAAAAATACCGCCGAAAAAACGAAGTACCGGGAACCGCCAAAAAAATACCGCCACTTTGCAGTACCGCCCCGCCTGGATCCGCCTAAAAAACTAGTACCGAGGTGTACCCTGAAAATAAGCGCAAACCTCACAAGAAAGAAATCATGTACCATACTACCTATAACCCTTTGCGTCCACACGGCAGTTGAAAACGAGAAGCAGAGATCCATCGCACCTGATCATGGGGGTTTTCCTCCTCCAGTAAATGCGCCGGCTCTCGTGGGTTTCCACCAACATCCTCCCCGGTATCGCCGCCAGAGCCCTGCAAATGTAGTACAAAACATAAGTAAAAAACGTTGTAGCGGACCGCCCGCACACGTTCAGAAATTAAGCCAAGAGGCACACACGACTATTGAAACAAAATACAATTTCCGTGCAACTATTACGCCTCCCCGTGGCTGGCAGCATTTCAAAGAACCGCGACGACCACGGTCGACTCGAGAAAGGGGGGCAGGAGGCGCAATTGTCGTCTTTTCTCAGCGGTGTACGCATACTATGGAAGAAGAACTAGGTCGCAAAAACGAACTTCTCGCACACAGCGGGATGAAATCGTACGGCGAAAACTAGTCTTTCGAGTTTTGCGCGTGGTGGTTGGCCTCCTGTTGCTTCACATCCATATATGCGCAGCGGAGTCGAAATGAGAATTTGGCGACTGCCTCGAGAATGTTGTGTACTTCTAGAAACGTAACGAAATAAACGGGACCCGACAAAAAGTGTACAGCAGTAGTAGAGTGCGACTCTTGCGTTGAGTGCGCCATGCCCCCCGCGTTCCATTGGCCAGCTTCAAAACGTGTCATACACGGGCGCCTCCTCCCCCAGCTGGTACATACGCATATTGCAATCATTGTACACACCGCCCGTGGTTGTGTATGTGGTGAGGTCCGAACTTCGAATAGGGATTTTGGGATGGCGGCTATTCCACTGCGTCGACACAAGCAGGAGTATAAGATGTATACTGAGAGTACCGGCGACACGCCATACGACTCAGGAACAAGTGTAGCCTGAGACACCAGAACTTGCGCGTTCACGGCACCGCCGTTACTTGTGGTCTTGGCTCGCAGAGGCACATATGGATTCCGCAGCACTGGGCGGCAGGAAAAGCAGTCAACGAAGACCTTTGTACTACACAGCAGGTGTGCAGTTTGCACACATCGACACCCGCGGTACTTCTAGCATTGCGATAATAATACTCCTCGAATGAGAGAGCTTATGCACGATGCTCAGAAAGGGTGATGGGCGCTTGGGTGCGGCACGGTAGTACGGCAGGTAGTCTGGATGGCGAACCCGACTCATCATCGCGAACGATGGAGGTCGGCGGAGGAAATTGAAGTTGACGTGTACACAGCGGTACCCAGAGCAGCACGTACCTCAATTGACGGAAGAAGGCTCATGGAGCTAGCCGATTCATCGCCGAAGGCAGCCGTCATCATTTCCCCTTCCCTTGATAGTGCGAAAGCCTCCAGGTGTGCCCCTCCCTCCCTGTGCTCCGGCTTCCATGTGGCTGTTCGTCTGTCCAGCATGCTTGATGCTTGCCTGAGGGGATTTCGGTGAATCATACCGTCCACCGCTCGTGTTCTCGGTTGCGCGTGCCCCTCCAAGCGCCGCCGCGATTGGACGCATATTCAAATGTATTTGTTAAACACACGAGACGCAGAGGGTAGGATTGCTGTAGACATTGGCCCCCGGCAGCGTGGGTTCGTCCTTCGTGGTGGTGGGCGTTAGTGCGGTCTGTGTGAGCTCAGCGGGGTGCGTCTGAACCTTCGGGGAGAGGAGTACAGGAGTGTACCAGTACGCGGAGACGAGCTGCGGCGTGGCGACGCTGCTTTTGGACGCGTTGGACAAAGAACCACCGCCTTTTGCTGTCTGCCTCTGATACTGCTGTCGCACCCCGAGACACACCACCCATGAGCAAGAGAGAAGGCAAGTTCACCCTTAGGTAGGAATCATCACGCAGGTAGATTTTAACACGGCGGTGCAAAATGGCTTTGTGGTTTGCATGCATAGGGCCGCGGAATTCGGTCTGTTGTTGGCGGGTGGTTGGGTGAGATATAGTATTGGATTTCGGAATATCGTGCACACACACAAGCCCACTGTTGATACCTACATGCAGGGTGTTGGGTGCAGAGGAATGGTTGCAACCTGCGCTGGATGTACAGCACTACTATACGTACGACCCCGGAGAAAGTGCTTTGGTATTGGTAGCCTGTGACTCCTGTACTCCGACAGCAACGTCATCGCAAGCCTGCTCAGTGATCCAATGTCGGAGATTCGTCTGTGGAACTATGATATTGTCGCATGTGAGCTGACGCCAGATATGGTTCGGCTATCTCAGACCGACGGAAGGGGTTGAACCTTCTCTCGACTACTACACATATACTGTGTATATGGCCAGAGGAGACTTCCGGAGCGAAGGTGGGGAACTGCTAGTGTACCAAAAAAAAAAAATGACTTGCGGGCTGACAAACAACCATCTGGGCGGTTGGTATGTATGCGGTACACCGACATGTGTATACAGCAGTGACATACAGATGTGCGCGGACCGCACGGACAGATGCGCTGAGCAAGCGGAGGAACAGTTGGACAGGGGACCTCAAGTAGGACGTACGTACAGCTAGACTCACACATGTTTATCTTCCGAGACGGAAAGGGACGCTTCGCGGTAGGGTGGCGTCGCAATTTGGTCCACACGCAAAATGCCGCAAATTCGTATCTTGAAGGAACCGAGTTCGTCAATGCGTACATGTGTTATGTGCATAGTAGTATACTGGGTGCAGTGCGCACACATGCCGGTAGGTGTGGGGAATCAGCTCAAAAACCGCACCAGTCGGACATCTGCACATTGAGCACGTTAGCAGTCACAGATGAACAGCAATAGCAGTCATCCACGGCCGTGGTTTCAGATCCGTTTCCGATGTAGACAACGTGGCTACGCAACAAGAGGGCGAACGGGTTCTGGCCCCAATGTGCAAGCTGGGGAGCTTCTGCTGCTGTACACAACGTTCATACGCATGGACGAGGTAGTCTAGTTTACACGCTCAACGCGATCCCGGAATATCATTTCTTTCGTTTTCCAACGGCATTCACGCCTTCGCACCAAATAGGAGAAGGCATCCGAAGTCTAGATTAGTCCAGATTATCGTCAACGCCCTGTCTCAGGGCCAAGGGCCCCATCTTCCTACCGGAGAGCGTTTTCTTTTTTCAGTTCGCTTTCCCTGTCCATTCCGTCGTCAAATTATATTGTAGATGTTTGTTGCTGTTGTCTTCACATCTAACTCGTGTCAGTTGCTAAATCCTAAAATACTGTAAGACTGGGTCCGTGGTCACAAAAATGCTATAATAGAGCCAGAAGATCTCATTTGCAATTTCGAAGAACTACTTGTATTCTAGACTCTTTTCTATGGATAAAGATGGAGTTTGATGGAATCGTAATCGTTGTGTCATGGTAAGAAAAAATAGCAAGAACGACGAAACAAGTGTTGCTTGACTTTCGGGTAGGGTGCACTGCTACTGGCGTAGGGTTTACTATGCATATTGTTGACACCGGAGTGGAGGCAGATTGAGGAATTTCCCAGTGCTAGTTCGTTCGATTTCGCAAATGAGCAATGGGGAGTGTCGGAACAATGTTTCGAGGCTCATATTTTTGTTAGGTATGACGTGGCAACTACCTCCCCCTGGTTGGCCGAAAGACTCGCGCCGTTCCCACGCCGGTTCTGCCCTTGGCTGTTGTTGCTTGGTTGACTGCTGCTATCTATCACCCAAGGTACCAGGAGCATCAAGCTCGGCTGTTGGCACGCAAAGAAGCACCCTGTAACGGCTTCTTGCAAGCAAACTCTCAGCCGCTCACGTGGCTTCTTGTTTCAATCAAGTGAAGAATAGAAAGGCGTGTCAGCAGCAGATATGTAGCAGTAGCAGCAGTAGCAGTAGCAGCTTTCCACGTAGAAATCACCCTCACACAGCGAGTTTTTAAGCGCCGTTCTACGCAACAAAATCGATGAAGAAAACATATGGGATAAAGTATTCGATCCATACTTTGGGGTTAGGGTTTGGGGATAGTGTCTGCGTGCACCCTCCCTATTCTTTTTCTAGATACTCTTACAATCCTGCGTGGGCGGTCCCTTTTGGGCCACCTCCCAGCAGTTCGAGTGGCCTACAGCTCATGGTTTGGGAGTTCTCCTGAATTGGTTGTAGGCAAGAAGAGTTACTGCTCTATTTGAATATGTGGCGTTCTGCAGCAGCAGAGGTGGTGATGCTGCTGTAGCTCGTAGACTTTGTAGTCTACCACAGAGGTTACACAGCTGTCACCGCGGTGCTGCTGTAGCTCGTAGACTTTATAGTCTATCACAGAGGTTATGCTGCTGTACGATCGGTAGGCCCGAGCGAGCTTCGGAAAGAGAAATGTAGATAGATGTTCTTATCAACTGACTCCCTGGTCAGGCTTTGATGGGTGCTTGATGAGAGTGAACACAAGGCGAAGGCGCGCTTGTGTCTCAGCTCAACAACAAAAACAAAAAACAAGCAGCAATCACAGCAGGTTCCGAGGGTCTCCGGGGTATGGGCCCGAGTACCGGAATTTCGGGGTTCGGAACAATGAAACAACTACAGTCTCGCCTGCGAAATAATCTCCGCTGCAACTCTGTGCTCATGTTCTCTGCTAAGTAGCATCTCTTCTTTCTGTATTATGTCCACGGAAGGCTAGATGCCGCAGTCGCACCTAAGGTAAACTGCTGTGTATGACTGCGTTGTAACAGTTTTCCTCGACACGACCCCTCGATTAGGCAAGTAGCGGATGTTCCAAAAAGAAAAGAAAGAAAATCTTCACTTGCTGCCAACTTTTGCGACCCCTCATTTCCCAATCCATATCAAAGAATATCGACCTCCACATGAGTGAATCCATCCTGTGAGCAATACACGCGTTCAAAAACATTCAACCATGCCATGCGATCTTGTGCTTAATATCATCTAGCACTTGTAGTCCTTGATGAGTTGCATGATGGTGGTGAATCGCTGCTTCGGGAGATGTTTCGTCGCGATGTCCGCCAACATCGTGGCACTAGGTTGGTGGTGAAGAGTGATCCGGTGCCCCTTCGTGAGTTCC